AATGTTACAGTTTCAAAGTATAACGCTTCTAACACTTTAGACTTTCTTTCAGGAGTAAGTATAAGTAACAATACGAACTGTACGATTAATATTAACATTTATCCAAAAGATTTGTAATTACCTACATGCTGATTGTCAAAATATATGTGACATTGTTTTACTTTAACGGCCGTCACTATGACAGCGGCCGCGAAAATGAATTTCGCGGCCGCCATGGCGAACGCGAAGTTGTTGTTTCTCGTCCAATTGCACAAAAAGAATGTTTATTGAAGCGAATTTCGCTTGCATGGCATGGTATCAAGTAGGTGTAAGCAACATTGCTGTAAACAAAAACTGGATGCCCACGAAATTCAGTTCAATTAATATTATTTGACGTAAGCAGTACGATCTAGAATCGATTAACCGTTTCGGATGCGTACTTTGTTCATTCTTATTCTGCACGTCAACAATAGCGCGTTGCAGTTTGTTTGAGAGAATTATTTATATTAAATCGACAACGTGAAGTAAAAAAAAGTTAACGCTGCATTTAGTGGGGTTAATTACATATCGGAAAAGTAATAACAAATGGACTATAGTTGTTACATATTATTCAGTAACGCATAATGTCTTATTTATACTAATTATAACGTAGCGGGAGAACCGGATGGGCGTATCGAGTTGCGGTTTTGTGCGTTGGCCTCGCATCAGTTCGATTGCCCTTCCAATGCGTCGGGTCGAACCCCTTCACGCCTCCCACATTGCTTATAGATGGCAATTTTGCCGTTTATTTGAAAACAACGGGGGCTAGAAGCTTGCCGTTTTTTACGTTGGATTCATAGATCGCTCGGTCGCGTTCTAGAATCGACGGAGATTTGAGTAAATGTGGGAGGCGGTGCAGTCCCCGACGCCTAAAGATGTCTCTTTGAGTGTTTTAATGTGCGAAGCAAAGTCGAGCAATGTGTGAACGGTCCTATACCAGCGTGAGACTCATTTGGGGTTTGTAACAGGTCTTAAACATATCATTTTAAAACAGTCCACTTTTAATAATGTGATTCAATGTATTAATAGGGCAAGGTGAAGCCGAGGAATGAAAAAATCTTTAATCGAAGCGAGGCAAGGCGGCGAATCCGCAGGAGCCGAGCGTGTGTCTTATGAAAACTTAATTAATAATTCGTGAGTGCAAATGTTTGACAGGGATTTGATGGCTCTAGGCAAGTAGAATCTCAAAATCCATTATGTGCACATACAGTGACTACGATTTGAATCGAAATTACCAAAAAAGTTACTGTATAAGTGATGTCCAAAAAACAAAAATACACCCCTTAAAAATTCAAAAACATTACCCATTTGATCTACCCACATCTTGTACGTTGCAATTTATGACGAAGAACAGGTTACAGAAGGTTTCGTCGAAATACGAAGCCTACTTCAAAAAGCTATACGACGAAATTTAAAACAATAAAATTTCCTATAGTCTTGTCACGGAAAAATCGCTGAAAAAAATTGTCAAAAATCGTCGCTTTTTTATGTCATCTTATACATTTGGCCACGGGGATTGCAAAAATGAAAAAAAAATTATAAAATCAACGGCAAAATGGGCACTTGCCGGTGGAATTTTTGGACTTCTTATTCCTAAACGATTACTTAGAGACTGATGTACATACTTACCATCCCTACAACACAATCGCAAGTTCGTTAAATCAGAATCGATATGAATACGTCGACTTGTTCTAGAATTTTCATGAAAAATTTAGTAATTCTGTATTTTGCTAAAATCGACGTTAAACTACAAGATAAAATAAATGCAAAACTTTGGCGGAGATTTCAGGTCCCTAAGTGATCATTTTGGGGACTCAAACATTGATATTGGTCAAGAGTTGCACAATTTTTGAATGATAGGAAATTGAAGATAGTTTGACGGAAATAATCAATCGTAAAATAACCAACGCAATTATGTGCAGATACGGAGACAGTTATATGCCAGCACCCCTAATCACGTACACGCCACTGGAGGGATCCCATTCCACATTGATAAAACCAGAAGAACCTCTAAGTTGCACTTTTCTCGCATCTAATCTTTTTTCGCCAAATGTTATATAAGTGTGATAAATAACGGTGTTCCGCATAATTGCACTTTTTCCATACTTTCATATTTAGATATTTTACGAAAACTGTTAAATAAGTAATTATCAAACTTTATCTTTTCATTCCAATAATTACCTCTTAAATAGTATATAAGCTTACTTATTTGAAGGAAGAGAATTTTTTTCTAAGCTTCAGACCTGCGTTGCTTCATTAATAAACGTATTAAAGCAAATGAGTAATTAATTCGGAGTTGGAAGAACGTCAAACACGTAATTAGACAACGATTTGAATCGAAATTTTTATAAAAAATCACTTTATATAGGTGATATTTTCAAGAAACAAAAACACCCCTTCAAAATTCAAAAAAATTGCCTATACGATTGACTGATATATCGGACGTTACAATTTATTCAAACAACACGTTACAGAAGGTTTCGTCGAAATACGAAGCCTACTTCAAAAGTTATACAAAAAAATTGAAATCGATAAAATTTCCATATTGCCTTGCCACGAAAAAATCGAAGAAAAAATTGTCAAAAATCGTTGATTTTTCGATGTTATTTAAAATATTTGGCCACGGGATTGCAAAAATAAAAAAAATTAACGGTTTTGATCGCAGGCGCCGATTTTGATTTTTCGAATTTTGCATACATTTACAAAAAAAAATTAATAATTGTGCTAATATTTAAGGTATTCGAACGGTTGTCAAGGCGATCCAACGAGATTAAGTGCGTGTAAAAGTTTGGCGTAGATTTGACGTCCTTAAGTGACCTTTTTAGGGCCTCAAACACCGATAATTTCTAAAAATGGCATTAATCTTTAAATGATCGCAAATTGAAAATAGTTTGATGCAAATAATTATTACGATCAACACATGTTATCAAAATTAAATAACCTTATCAATATCACATTAACATAGTTTATTACATTAAATGCGTAAAACGCGTAAGTAATAAAGAATTGGAGTAAAATTGAAACTGTCGTCGAGTCGTCGTATGCCATTTATAGCATGGAACAAAACGAGATAGCACACAGTAGCCTATCACAAGCGGCTTAACGAATTGTTTTGTACTAGTAAGTATCATGGATCTTAGAACGAATAAATAAGGGAATGTTTAGAAATTTTATATGGCAATATGTTTACTAAAGGCGTTACCGGACAAATGAATTTGCTTTATTTACTAACAACGCCACGTGCAAGATAACAAAGGCAGAGGTTTATCAATACGGGTGACGAAGCGGTATTTCGAGAATCGTCGGTGATCAACGATATGGAACGGATGAGTGGAGGTGACTTGACCTTTAAAGTACGAAGAATGGGAAATAAACGAACCTAAGACGGATGTCTCGCCGTTATCCTGATTGCGGATCGTTTGAAAAAGCGTATGTCATTATTACGGACAAGTTTTCGCCGATTACAGAAGTTGAAGTTTTACGCATGCCATTCCATAATTGAGAAAATAAAGCCATTGTCCAGTTTCTGGTAAAGTGTTGTTAATTAAAAGTCTTATCTCTCGAACAGCCATCATAATTATTATTCGTTAACTATATCCAACAAGTTATTGGATTATGTGTTAAACAAAAGTGAGATTTAAAAGCTGCCAGCTTCGTGTAAAGTGTTTGGTTTGTCGCTCATCGTATTCCCATTGTCCAGACGGGTTGTGTGTGTACAAAAGGGAGTTTTTAGCCTTAACGTTTTCTTACAGGTTTTTGTAGGTATTTGTTTTTTTTAATCATGTGTTTTAGAATAAATTCTTGTAATTTCTTGGTATTAATCAATTCTGTGTCAATTGGAATCCCGATTTGAAATGCACATAAAGCATACTCTTCTCTGCTTGATTTCACGACTTCTTTTAATCTGACTATTAATTTCAATTCAAAATTTCAGTAATTTCATTGGAATTTACGGAATTTGATTGATGCATTCGTGTCTATTTTATAAGAATTTTAAGGTCAATGTTAAGATTTTTGTTTGTGTCGAAACCCAGCCATGCTGTGAGAGAAATTTTGAAAAGAACAGAAAGTGATAGTACTTTGAGCTAGTTAGGTAGGTGTCTGCTGGGGGTGGTATTGGGGCCGCGTATACTACTATTACATACAACAATATTCATTTTGTTGCGGGTTTGAAATGTAATTTTATTATGATTTACCATACGCAAATGAATTATTGTTCATTTATTCACATACCTAATAATTATATAAATATACAAATCATTTTACCAGTGACATTGATCAGAACATATAGCAGGAAAGCAATGTGTCATTAAAAATACATTAGAAAATGTTAGTGATCGTAGCTAATTTTGTCCACTAATGCCATTGGAACCAACTAATATACAGAAGAACATGTCAACATAAAAAAATGCGATAAAAGGGATGATTTAACACCGACTGCTACCCACATTCGAAAATGCCGCGAAACGTCCATCGTTTTGACATAAAAGTAACGGCGGTTCTGCTCGTGAGTATGGAGTAAGTCAAGATTGCAGTTGCTTCTCGACTTCTGCTGCTAAATACTGCGAGCGTTGTCAGTACGAAAAAACAATTAAAATGATTTTTTTTAATTTTTCCTTTACGTCCAACTGGAACTGGAAATAATGATGTTCACCTTGTTACTAAAAGAGCGCGACATAGACAACCTGTTACAAATAACTACCAAAACATTTTTTTAGTAATTGTCCAGTAGAGGTCGTTGATGTATTGGGTATCCTACCCACAATGCAGTACTGTTTGTATGGCTGCCTATATACATATTCTCTTCCATTGATTGCGTGGTGCTATGTAAACATACTGAGTGCTGACGTCATACACCGATGACGTACGCGTAAACTATGAAAAATCCTACTATATCGTAGGTATCTTTGCTTAGCATTTAAGTTTGGCATCAAAGAATGAATGGAAAGACTTTACGTTAAAATTCTTATACACATACTAACCTATACTGACACGTCATTCCATATCCGAAATCTCTCCAAAATCCCGTGTCTCTCGATATTACTAATTGGTCCGTTTCGGGTGGAACTTCTCTCCCTTGAAGCGTGTAGACCACATGCGGATTGTATAAACTAAACACAACGGGATAGTATACTTTCTTTCCCGGCCAAGTGTTCCATCTGCAGCGATCCAAAAAACGCGCACTGAACACCACATCAACGTCGCACATAAACAAAAGCACGTCTTTAGTTTCAGAACGACCCTCTGGCCCCCATACTCGTTCAGCACCAACGCGCAACCCCTTTCCCCTAGAGAAAGTTTCGTTAAGCGCCAGTAGCCTAAGGTTATTTGCGTTACCGCCGCTGTTCTTTGTGATCAACACCCGCGACATAATGGTTCGCGCCTCCGACAACCCCTCCTCGCCAAAATATACGACCGTTAGATGCACGCGTCTATCGTTCTTTAAACCTATTTTAACAAATTTGTCCATAAAGCTTTGAAACGTAGTCGTACGTCCCGATAATGGAAGAATTATGTGTATAAGTTCTTTTTCGCGCACATTGGCAAGCGCTTCCGTTTGAATCGTTTGCACAGGTGCGAACGGTCGCATTAGCACAACTTTGGTAAACCCACTCGCATGCGAATGATGATTTGTGGTAGTTTTATTTACACTTTTAGTCCTAAAATATAATTCATACTGAGTACCTGTCGTCGGCTCCGTGCGATATAGACCTTCAAGGAAATCGTCCAAAGTATACTTCAGAGTTTTCCGAGTCAGGGAGTCGGGTGTGCTCAAACTTAGATTCTTGTTGAGGGTTTCCACTGCTTTCATGAGAACTTCTAACAAATCTTTTCGTTTAAAACCGATCGGTTTTTCTACCACGCGCTTCCCTAAACCAAGATCTATGGGATACACGCGGCTGAACGTAAAATGATTGAATGGAATTAATTCGTACTCGTTGTTGAGAGGAATTCCTTTGAAAACTTCGGCGGACATTATTTGTTTTCGTATGTAGTTGACACACTCCCCATTTGGGCTAGCTGGTAACGGAGCCGATGACGACGAATTAGGATTTACGTTTATGGCGATAGATGCGGATTCCTTCTGCTGTGTTTGGCCTCCATTACCTGAAATAAGATTTATGTATAAGTACATGCTCCGCAGTTCATCAAGATTGCTGGCGTAAAGGTGAGAGTCATTTTGTGTCTACAAACACCGTAGGCGCAAAGTTATTCACGTGAATACAACAACATTTGAATATTCTACCCTTAATTTATTACAAGTTGGCGAATTTGCGTGAATACATACCCACGCGAGCGAAAGGCGTAATTATGAAAATGAAAATCTCAGTCTTGCTATGCTAACCTTCGAAAGGGGTGGCACAAAAAGGAATTCAAGGGTGTTAATATTATATTAACTAAGTAAGATTTCTCGTATGAAATATCGAGAAAATTAAAACTGCCACTCTTTTGTGTATACTTGTTGCTACCCGTCAACAGCTAATTAAGGTTCAGATTAAATTCTCGTGCGAGATATTTTGATGGGTATAAAAGACGAACTACATCTAAAAGCCATAAATCAGTGGAACAGTGTAAATCCACAGCTGTATTATACAGCAACCTATTATTAGTTGGAGCGCATCTTAATTAACATCAAAAGCCCTTCCAACTTTTAACATCTCTGTATAGATTACACGCATCAGGATAAGTTATGCCTTATTTGTCGCTAGTTGGTAAGCTAATTTAATCCATTTAAACCTTCCTCTGTATGGATTCTTTGAGGTCGTCTTAGCTTGGGGAAAGTACTGCGTAGATGCTCCATATAACGCGCAAGCAACAAAATGCAAGGCACTACAAAAATACCATGTGCTTCATAAATAAAACACACGCCGCTGACCGGCCAGCTAGCTCTGTTGACCAAATAGCAAACAGCGGAGAGAGAAAGACTAATGTACAGGGTTGTGGGTAACAGAATTAACTCAATTGGTAATTGGCACTTATAACTCCTCGATCCAGCCTAGGTCGTCAGTACTTACTTTTGGTCGCTTCAATTAAAATCTCTATGGGCGCCACCTAATTCGAAGTTAAGTTTCGCTTGCCACTACCGGAACTAGGAAAGGTAGCTTTAGCTTTAAAGTAGGCAACTGATAACCCACAAAAAAAATGTTTATTGGGTGCAATTGCACCTGCATACGTAACACCAACACAAAAGTTATGTTCCCCAAATGGGAATCAAAAATCAATAAAGTATAATAAACACGTTATGTAAAAAAACTAAACAACCCCAAGTATAAGTGTTGAAATAATTATCCCAAATTCCAAGGTTTACATAAAATTCCCCCAATGAAATATTACATAAATTTAGTAGCTAAAACTAGTTCACACCAAAAATCCTGAAAGTAGGTATAGAACACCCACTACCGTTGCACAGTGATTGAGTTTAATGGGTTAAATTGACAGTGGATTGAATACCTTGATGGGTAGCTTGGGTATCGAAGTTTAAATCATAGTATAGAGCTCTGTACTTCACAGGTGATTTACTTCACATGAGTAAATGCAGTTAATTAAAGCAAATTATTCCCTTTCAAGTTCAAGCGTACTAATTAAGAGTAATATGGGTGGCTCTAGTGTTCGGCCAGTTAACATTTACCACATAAGTATGGGTTAAATGAAATGCAAATACACAAAGGCAATAGTTTAAACAATAATAAGATATCACCACTATGATAGGTAGGTCTCTGGTTCCTAAGATTCCTGGTGTACGTGTAAACGGCTAACGGTTTTCTATGTACCGCAACAGGTGTCAAAAGGGTTGGTGTCCGCAGTATCTGTTTGGCTGCGCCTTAGAGATAGTAACGTTTCAATGGCAGTTTTTACAGTACACGGAACTCCTGCATGTTGTCGTTTAACGTAGATGTGTTTCGCTTAGAGAGTAAGTAGAAGCTACGGAATCGTTGGACTTTGACTCCTTAGAGAATATTATTTCCACTGCTACTGGAATCGGGGTGGGAAAATTGAGAGTTCACAAGTGCTGGTTCGGGTAGCTCAATTCGCAGCAGGGTTCGGTAGTAAAACCAGTTGAAAGCGGAGATCGCTTAATACATATATTGGTTCCAATAATAAAACAAAATAAAATTAAAATAATGTACACAAAAGCACGCCTCTGTGGACTGCCTCCGCACGTCACTGGCTCGGACTGAAGTGGAACGGTCAGTGCGACACTTCCAGTGGATGCTGGGCGTCGATTCCCGAAGATGTGCTTTGTTCACATCGACTGACCTTGATGTGAACATGAATGTCACTGCATTCTCGAACCTACCACATCGAGCGAAAAGTTGATCGAACGCAACGACTGGTCTAGACCACTCGTTGCGTGAAAGTCATGCGCAGTTGCAGCTACAGGACGGATCTTGCAGCTGTTTTGCTATAGAGGTTATTCAGTGCCCTAACCTATAAATTCACATATTTTCTGTGAAATAAAACATGGAATTGTTCGAGGATTTTCTGGTTAAATAACAGTATCCTTAATGCAAAAACGAAACAAAATACAAAACTGACAAATGACAGTTCAATTCTTGTCTGTGATTGGTTAGCGCATACAGTTTGTTCGCGATTCGGGAATGCAGCTAAACTTGAACTTATCCCTATCGTATACGATCATGACGTCATGGCAGCCGGTCACATCACATGCACATCACGGAGCATATCGACTAACTTCGGGAATCGATACCCTGGACACGGTGTGTTTCCTCTTAGGTTTGTTATATTCCTTTAACAATCGGAAGTATAATTAACACAAATAAATTCAGAGTAATTAAGTGATTGTTTAAACAATAGGTGAGTGACCTTATTGATTATTATTTAATGTAATACTATGGGGGAATTCTACCTAGACAGAATTCCAAAAAAAAATGAAACGGGTTCTAAACAAAATTGACTGGACGTAATAAAATGAAAAGGGGTTCTTTAATTAACTCAACAAAAGTATCTGGATGTGGATTATTATTAAACAGGATGGTTTTCAGGACTTAGGTACAAAGTACCGCCCTAAGTTACCAAGAGTTCGGGGAAGGTTTAGAATAACAGGTGTGAAAGTTGACCAGGTACACAGTACCAGCCGTGAGCTTCGGGAAGTAGTTATCGGGAGTTAGACCGTAGGTGCAAAGCACCGGCCTAAGCTTCTGGATCAGGTAAGAGATAACAGGGTTCGAAATTTAGGCCTTTGGTACAAAGCACCGGCCTAAGCTTCAGGGAGAGCAGGAGATCTGGAGGGTGGTTCTGGTAGAAGGTTTTGAGCTATAGGAAGGTGATCTCAATTAGTTCTCTCACAGACGGGACACTCGCTTTTATATTCAACGGCCGGTTATGTTTGGGGGAATATTTGGAAATGGTAATCGGGAAGGGATTAACGGGAAGTGGTATTTGATATGATCGGAAAGGTAGGTGGCGACATCTCACGGAACTTCAGGAAAATAGTTTTTCATCATTGCTTCCTAAAATGATTATAAAAAGTATCATAGTTGGATTCCTTACATATCACCCCTCCTTCGGAAGCCGGTACCTTGGTGTCCTCTGCCCGACTCATCCCTAATGCGGCCGCTTCTTTCCTCGTCATTTTAATAAATTTCCTATTTCCGATGGGGATAGTAATACGCCTTTTATTCCTCTTTACCCTGCGGCGAGCTTGTCGGCTTGACATGGGGGCCTCCCCCCTATCCATGTTTAACAGATTGGCCATGGCCTTTAATTTGTCGGAGGTGACAGCGGCCCCCGGCAGTGGTTGTATACCTATTCTCTGAGATGTGTTGAGAGCTTCCGTGTGGGTTGCATCTTGTGGTATCGGTTCCCAACAAATCCTCATTATTTCTTCATCTGGAGTGGATAAAATTGGCAAACCACTGATGGGTGACGGGGTTGTTATCATTACCTCCTGTACCTCTGGAGACATGTTTTCCGATAGTATTGGACTAGTTATTGTCTTCACAAATGTCGGTGTATTTTCCGGTGCTGCTATTCCAATCACGTCCGGACTTCCAAATAATCTTTCCAGTCTACTTGTTAGGTCCTCCATTACCTTGGTTGGAAGCGGAGTTTTCGGTGGCTGGGTACCTCTGGATATGTAGATCTTAGGTATATTGTGGTCCTGGTTAAACCTCCTGGGCGCCCACGGATAAATTTTCCTTTTGGCTTGTCGGGATCTTTGCTTTACTGGAGCCATCTCACTAATACTGTCTAATGGGCTGTGTGTTTCCCTTATATGGGACCTCTCTGAGCAGGTTTCCCATTCCACACTTTTTGGAGATGGCAGGGTGTTAAGGCGGTCTTTAGACTGGATTTCAATCTCATCCTGGAGGTCAACTGGCTTTATATCCTTTACGTGGACATTCTTCTTTTGTGACCTCCTGTCCCCTGTTTTGATTTCCACTATCACAGGAGATATAATTCGTGTTATTTCATGTGGCCCTGAAAATTTTGGGGATAACTTGCTGGAAATTCCCTTACCTTTATCAGACAATATATGCATTCGACAATAAACTTGTTCTCCCACCCGGGGTTGATATGGCCTTCTACGGAGGTTATAATATTTTTTCTGAGTTTCAAATGCCTGTGCAAGAGCTTCTCTTGCGAGTTGTCGGAATTCCTCTAATTTGTCTAGTTTTGTTCCATACTCTTGTGGTTGCACCATTTCCCCATCTGCCTCCGGTTGAACTTCCCTTATGAGAGTGTTGGTGGGTAACATTTCCCTGCCAAAATTCAAAAATGCTGGAGTGTATTGTGTAGAATCGTGCTTAACACTATTAATAGCGAAAGCTATTTCTGGTAGATGTTGGTCCCAGTTTCTTGGTACTGCATTGGTGTTTTGTGCAATCATCATACCAATTACTTTATTTGCCCTCTCTACTGGATTGGCCTGGGGAGTGTATGGTGGAGTTAACTGGTGCTGGATACCCCATTCCCGTAGAGTGGTTTTAAATGTGCGGCTAATAAACTGAGATCCATTATCTGAAACTACCTTTCTCGAAGTTCCAAATCTACAAATAATATTTTCCTGGAATGTTTTAATTAAAACAGCGCTGGTAGCCTTGCGTATTGCTTTTATCTCTACCCACTTGGTGAACCTATCCTGAAATACAATTGCATAACAGTTTCCTTTACTGGAGCGGGGAAGTGGTCCTATAAAGTCAATACTAACTATCTCCCATGGTTGATTTACTCTTGAAAAGTGCATTTCTCCCATAGGTTTCTGGGTGGTGCTCTTGTATTGTAAACAATTTTTACAATTTTTAACGTATTTAATTACATCCTGTGTGCTTCTAGGCCAGTAATAATTTTGGAACACCCTGGAAAATGTTTTTGCCACTCCTAAATGTCCTGCGGTTGGTTGATCATGGCATTCTTTCAACACCCGGGAACGTTGGTGTTTTGGAACACACAATTTCCATGAATTGCCAAAACCCTCAGCGGCGGCAGGAGATGATAACGGAAAAGCACGATACAGTTCGCCCTGCTGGATTTTATATTCCGGATACTCTTCTGGGTGAGTTTGAACTTTTTCTTTTAATTTGTCGTACCACTTACATGTTTCATTTTCAGAATGTTCGTTATCTTCTACAGCTGCTATGGCTTCTGGATTTCCATCTTCTTCGTATGAACGTGATAACGCATCAGCAACTTTATTCCATTCTCCTTTGCGGTAGATTACCTCGAAGTCGTATGGTTGAAGGTGCATTATCCATCTTGCCAGTCTAGCAGTAGGTTTTTCCATGGACGTCAGCCACTTCAAACTTCGGTGATCTGTAATCACTTTAAAATGGTAACCTTCAAGATACCCTTTCCATTTGTCAATCGCCCAGACTACCGCCAAACATTCTTGTTCTATTGTAGAATAATTCCTCTCTGCAGAATTGAGTGCTCGGCTAATGTAAGCAATGACTTTTTCGGCACCATCTTGAATTTGTGATAGAACTGCTCCAATTCCTGTGTTGCTGGCATCTGTTTGCAGTATAAATTGTTGAGCAAAATCTGGGCAGGTTAGTATCGGTGCGGAAGTGAGAGCTTCCTTTAATTTATTAAATGCTCCCTGTTGCTCTGCTTTCCAACTAAATCTTATACCTTTTTTCAGAAGCTGAGTTAACGGTTGAGCTATTAGAGAGAATTGTGGAATAAACTTACGATACCATGAGGCCATTCCCAGGAATCTCCTGACAGCTTTAACATTACCCGGTGGTTCCATCTTTACAATGGCTTCAACTTTTTCCGGATCTGGTTTGATACCACCTTGTGTAACCATATGACCCAGGTATTTTAACTCTGTACGGCAGAACATGCACTTCTCATTTTGCAACTGAAGACCATTTATACGGAGTCGACGTAAAACTTCTTGTAAGTTGTCTAAATGTTCCTCAAACGAGTTACCTATAATAATTATATCATCTAGGTAAGCGAAAGCTTTATGATTTTGTTTCTTTTTATAATTTTTAGTACCTTAGTTCCCATATACGTTCTAGCTGCTCCGGTATCAATTAATGCTAAAATGACCTGTTGGAAAATGTTCACCTTTAAAAACAATCTATGATCTCGCATTTGCTTGGTTTGCAGGACGGCTGATTCTGGAATCATTTCTGGTACGGGAATTTCTGTGGCTGATTCTGGAACACTTTCAGGGTTTTCGGCCAAGTTTTGTAAGGATCCCTGGTTTTCCCTTACTGGCGATGTCCGTTTCCCGACTCCCTGCATCCGCAGTCTTTGGAAAATACGCCTTCTCTATTACACCTTGAACAAAACTTTTTATAAGTACCTCTACATCTATTTCTGGTATGGCCAGGTTCGCCACACCGCCAGCACACTTCTTCCCTACGGTAAGTATCTGTGGGATTCGCTATATCTTGTGTAAAACTGTTTCTGTTTTCATATACCATGGGTTGCCTTATCGGAGGTTCCGGAGATGCGTTTCTTACGGGAGCTGCAGCTAGATTGTGATTGAATTGTACCCTCGGCCTACTTGGTATTCTGGATTCGGCGGCTGTAGAACGAGGCAGTCTTTCAAACTCACCTGCTACCTCAAGTAATTCTGGAAGGCTTCTAAAATCCCAGGGTCTGATGTAGTATTTGTATTCGGTCCGTAAATTTTCATAAATACGATCCAATTGGCTTTCTAGTGACAAACCTCCATGTCGACGAATCAACGTTAATATGTCTGTAATGTACTCGGATGCGGATTCTCTTGTACGTTGTAGTCGGTTTCGAATTTCTTCTTCAAGCTTATGCTGGTACCTATGCGGCGTGTAGTATAACTTGAAGCTTCTAATTACATCCTCCCAATTCAACCAGTATAGTTTGTTATTACGATACCATAAAAGTGCACGTCCTTTTAACATTTCCGGTAAAGTTTTTAATAAATCGGATTCCTGGTAACCATAGCATTCCCTTAATTCTTCTATTCTTTCTAGGAATGACATGGCATCTCCCGTACCATCGAATTTGATGCCCCATTTACGAACCTGGTCACACAATGCTGCTTCCTTTGTCGTTTTGTGTTCCGTATGCACAGCTTCTGGAGGATGACCCAGTTGTCGAGGTGCGTCGGAGGATACATCCCGGATCCTTGTTTTTGTTTTCCTTATTGCCCCACCACTAGCCATACCTTCAGGTGCAGTATGGACATTAGTAGTATCTTCATAAGGTACTTGTACTTTCGGTGTTGTAACAGGATTGCTTCTATAATGCAGTACCAATCTGGCTCTTAGTTCTTCTACGTTCCCATCTGCAGCTAACCCTTGCTTCGTAGCTTCTGCAATAAGTGCGTCTTTCTTCAATCCATATATCCAGCTAACCCTCACATCCGGGTCCTGGTATTCGGCTCCTTTACCCTCCATTATAATATAGGTGAGTATACAGTAATAACGTAAAACTAAAACAAATTTTTCAGGTTTCTAAAACTGGAATGAAAATTAAATTAAATGCTGGAAAATAAAAATTAATTCGGATAATACAAAATAAGCAACAATACTCCTGGAATTATAATTAAGTTTAGTTTTAATTAGTATAAGTTTATACCCGGTTCTGATGATTTTAACTACTCGGACTCGGGCGCCATATAACGCTCCCAATTTTCCACTGCTACTGGAATCGGGGTGGGAAAATTGAGAGTTCACAAGTGCTGGTTCGGGTAGCTCAATTCGCAGCAGGGTTCGGTAGTAAAACCAGTTGAAAGCGGAGATCGCTTAATACATATATTGGTTCCAATAATAAAACAAAATAAAATTAAAATAATGTACACAAAAGCACGCCTCTGTGGACTGCCTCCGCACGTCACTGGCTCGGACTGAAGTGGAACGGTCAGTGCGACACTTCCAGTGGAGGCTGGACACGGTGTGTTTCCTCTTAGGTTTGTTATATTCCTTTAACAATCGGAAGTATAATTAACACAAATAAATTCAGAGTAATTAAGTGATTGTTTAAACAATAGGTGAGTGACCTTATTGATTATTATTTAATGTAATACTATGGGGGAATTCTACCTAGACAGAATTCCAAAAAAAAATGAAACGGGTTCTAAACAAAATTGACTGGACGTAATAAAATGAAAAGGGGTTCTTTAATTAACTCAACAAAAGTATCTGGATGTGGATTATTATTAAACAGGATGGTTTTCAGGACTTAGGTACAAAGTACCGCCCTAAGTTACCAAGAGTTCGGGGAAGGTTTAGAATAACAGGTGTGAAAGTTGACCAGGTACACAGTACCAGCCGTGAGCTTCGGGAAGTAGTTATCGGGAGTTAGACCGTAGGTGCAAAGCACCGGCCTAAGCTTCTGGATCAGGTAAGAGATAACAGGGTTCGAAATTTAGGCCTTTGGTACAAAGCACCGGCCTAAGCTTCAGGGAGAGCAGGAGATCTGGAGGGTGGTTCTGGTAGAAGGTTTGGAGCTATAGGAAGGTGATCTCAATTAGTTCTCTCACAGACGGGACACTCGCTTTTATATTCAACGGCCGGTTACGTTTGGGGGAATATTTGGAAATGGTAATCGGGAAGGGATTAACGGGAAGTGGTATTTGATATGATCGGAACATAGATATATAAATACATAGATACAGCCATACCCCAACATAGTTCAAAAGGACGTACCATCTATTACCATCACTTTCGGCACATTAATTACGTATAGCGCTATCCTTTATAGAGGTTCCCTGAGCATGGAAGACAAGATTCGCATTATTTATTATAACTGTCAATCAAATTGTTAGCACAAATCACACAGAAAATTATCAGATTTGAAACTTTACAACATAAATAAACCGCCTTTTTATTTATTTAAATCGCATAGCAGCAAGAAATGTTACATTTAAAATGGAAGATGTTACTTAGAAAGCTGGAAAATGAAGAATTTGAAAAAATTACAGCTGACAAATGGAAGAAAGTGTGTGAACATGTGGAAAGTGATTAATTTAAAAGAGATGTTATATTGGTTGATGTTTCTGAACTTTATAATAAGTGTTAATAATGACAGTGATGATTCGGATTTGTCAATTTCATCTGACGATGATTCGGATTGTGAACTTTTATAAATGTAATGAATGTTCACTAAATGAGTATTATCACCAATTGGATATCATTGCTAAGATGTTGTATTTATTTTAAATAAATGTACACGTGTAGCTTACTTACTACAATTAGCACTATAATTTCAAAAAGAAACCCCACCGATTGGACATATGCCGAAATGTAGGCAAGACGCGTAGCGACCAAAATTTGATATTGCACGCACACACAGTCTATAAATCTCGTTTTCCTAAGAATATTGCACGGATCCTTCTTTGTGATCATGATACAAACGCACTGCATCAACATCATATAGGCCAAAATGATAATTGGAAACGAATTCACTTCCTGTCGCAACTTAATCTCCGTAACCATTACGCCTACAACCATGCAATTAAAATTAAATTGTTGAACATAAACTTTACTTACTTACGTTTTTTTTTGATATTCTGCAAGCCAGCAATGAATTCACTGCAGCACATCATGCCAAACAAGGTAAACATAGTCCCAAATTTGAATGGCGTAGCTCTATGTAATAAAACTATTTCAGGAATAACAATTATGGACGCGTCTATCATTATGGCAAGCACTAATGTTATTCGTATTCAATTGATAACGCAATAATCACATAATATTTAGGGAAAAAACCGCCCATCATGTTTAGGGCGAATATTTTTAGTTAGATTTGATTTCGCGCGATCGTGAAATGTGTCAACTGTCACATGACTTATGAGACGCGCTAAGTTTGTTTTAAGCGTCCGATTCGTGTACGACATAGTGGTTAATGCAATAAAAAGAGATAGAACATGTTTCTTCTTGGTTAGAAAGTAATGGAGAGATGTACAAATTTCTTTGATATGTTTTTTAAAAACCGAGGTACGTTTGTTAAGGATGGCTGTATCTAGGTATTTATATATCTATGGATCGGAAAGGTAGGTGGCGACATCTCACGGAACTTCAGGAAAATAGTTTTCATCATTGCTTCCTAAAATGATTATAAAAAGTATCATAGTTGGATTCCTTACAACAAGGACTCTAAAATATAATGTAATTATGGCCACGGTTAACCAAATATAATGCGCTAACCTCTTAAAGCAGAGAGTACACAAAAAAAAAGAACTTCGTTAAAGTAAGGTAGCCTTCTTATACCATAAATACGATGGATTCCCCCTAGAAATAGAAAGAAGGTAAAGTGGATTCGATCACACGGAGTATAACTTACGATTAAGGTGAAATTCCTCCAGTACAAAAAAAAATTCCTTACGGAAGTTTGTCCCCAGGCATTAAAACGAAACTGCTTGGTGCAAACATTAATTTGGGTTAACTTGGTTAAAAGATGCTTTCGCCAGGGTGTTCGATCCAAAATCAACCACTGGAAGATATAACAAGCACCCCCAACTCGGGATCACAAATCGACCGTCTCTCTAAAGCAGGTGGCGAGAAAAGAAGACGCTAACTTTTTTGTTTCCGGTCACGATGCAACCGACGACGAATAATTCCAACCAACCACGAGAGCCGATGGATATGTCAATACCATAAATGGTAATATCTAATGCTTATCGATAAAGGAAACGAATTTAAAACCAATGACAGCAAGGTATCGAATTACCGTAAACTGACGTCATTGATCGGTAGATCGAGAAACTAAAACGGGCAGGCAACACAAAAATATAAAAGTAACTAGAGAATTAACATATTGGTTGCATTCAACGATGCGCGAACATGTAATACAGGGTAATGGAAATAGAAATATGACTACAAAGGTTAATACTATTTTAAACTGTTACATCCACCATTGCGCAGCTTCGTGATATAATGTGTAGTCGCAATTTTGAGTTAGTGTGCTGGATTTTCTTGGGGGGCTTTCTGTTCTAGGGTAGTGTAGAACGCTATGGGGTCCTCTACCTGGTCGCCGCT